GCTGGGGCTGGGGACTTGAACAGGGATGGTGGGACAACCCAGGATCTAATCAGGCAAGCCCACCCCCACTACCACGGCAGCGTGAAGAACCAAACAACCAGGGCGATTACCAGAATCTAGGAATAACCAGAACTCTAGAATTCCAGCTGGAGGAGTGATCCCCTGGCAGAAATGGCAACTTCAGAAGAGAAATGTAACCACTCACAGCTGTGCCTGCTAAAATGGGAGCCAGGAAAATCAGGATTTTCTGCTGCCCCCTTCATCCTTCCATTGACCACCTCCAACCAGAAACCCACGGGCAGGAGCCACCTCTGGAGGTGCTGAGCAGGGTTGAGAGACAAACAGACTGACCTGTGGGATCAAACCGGGCAGCGTGGGAATTCCCTGAGGAGCTGCTGAGACACTGGCTGCCCACCCTGCTCGGTCCCACAAGTAAATAAGATGTAATTTGAAAAGCAGAAAGTGCAGGGCTGGAGAGGGACTGCAGTTAGAGCTCGCTCTGCTCTTGGGGAGGAGCCTGGGTTCTGTTCCAAGCCCCTGCACAGGAAGCTCACACCCGCTGTGACTGCAGCTGCAGAAGATGCAGTGTGTGCTTCTGGCCTCACCGGGCACCTGCACAGCCATCGAGCACACACAAGCAAGCAAGCCCACAGGCACGAATAAAAACAAATTCTTTTCAAAAGGAACTTAAAGAATGAAAAGTACACTATAGCTTCATTTTTAGTATATTCTGTATATATGGATGGGGTCAGCCACCTGCTGCTGTGTGTACTTGGTGTACATGGATGGTGGCTGCTGCTGTGTATACTCGGTGTACATGCATGGTGTCTGCTGCTGTGTATACTCGGTGTACACGGATGGTGTCTGCTGCTGTGTATACTCGGTGTACATGCATGGTATCTGCTGCTGTGTATACTCAGTGTTCATGCATGGTGTCTGCTGCTGTGTATACTCGGTGTACACGCATGGTGTCTGCTGCTGTGTATACTCGGTGTACACACATGGTGTCTGCTGCTGTGTATACTCGGTGTACACGGATGGTGTCTTCTGCTGTGTATACTCGGTGTACACGCATGGTGTCTGCTGCTGTGTATACTCGGTGTACACGCATGGTGTCTGCTGCTGTGTATACTCGGTGTACACGGATGGTGTCTGCTGCTGTGTATACTCGGTGTACACGGATGGTGTCTGCTGCTGTGTATACTCGGTGTACATGGATGGTGTCTGCTGCTGTGTATACTCAGTGTTCATGCATGGTGTCTGCTGCTGTGTATACTCAGTGTACATGCATGGTGTCTGCTGCTGTGTATACTCAGTGTACACGGATGGTGTCTGCTGCTGTGTATACTCGGTGTACATGGATGGTGTCTGCTGCTGTGTATACTCAGTGTACATGCATGGTGTCTGCTGCTGTGTATACTCAGTGTACACGGATGGTGTCTGCTGCTGTGTATACTCGGTGTACATGGATGGTGTCTGCTGCTGTGTATACTCGGTGTACATGGATGGTGTCTGCTGCTGTGTATACTCAGTGTACATGGATGTTGTCAGCCGCCTGTCAGCTGCTGTGTATACTCGGTGTACATGGATGGTGTCTGCTGCTGTGTATACTCGGTGTACACGGATGGTGTCTGCTGCTGTGTATACTCAGTGTACATGGATGTTGTCAGCCGCCTGTCAGCTGCTGTGTATACTCGGTGTACACGGATGGTGTCTGCTGCTGTGTATACTCAGTGTACATGCATGGTGTCTGCTGCTGTGTATACTCAGTGTACACGGATGGTGTCTGCTGCTGTGTATACTCGGTGTACATGGATGGTGTCTGCTGCTGTGTATACTCAGTGTACATGCATGGTGTCTGCTGCTGTGTATACTCAGTGTACACGGATGGTGTCTGCTGCTGTGTATACTCGGTGTACATGGATGGTGTCTGCTGCTGTGTATACTCGGTGTACATGGATGGTGTCTGCTGCTGTGTATACTCAGTGTACATGGATGTTGTCAGCCGCCTGTCAGCTGCTGTGTATACTCGGTGTACATGGATGGTGTCTGCTGCTGTATATACTCGGTGTACACGGATGGTGTCTGCTGCTGTGTATACTCAGTGTACATGGATGTTGTCAGCCGCCTGTCAGCTGCTGTGTATACTCGGTGTACACGGATGGTGTCTGCTGCTGTGTATACTCGGTGTACATGGATGGTGTCTGCTGCTGTGTATACTCGGTGTACATGGATGGTGTCTGCTGCTTTGTATGCTCGGTGTACATGGATGGTGACAGCTTCCTGTCTGCTGCTGTGTATACTCGCTGTACGTGGATGGTATCAGCCACCTGTCTGCTGCTGTGATAAAACAGCGTGGCTAAGGCAGTTTATAGAAGAAAGAGTTTATTTGGGCTTCTGGCTCCAGAGAGTCGTGATACTGAAGCAAAGGCAGGAGCAAGAAGCTGGGAGTTTACTGAGCTGCAGAGCAGCAGGCTGCTCTGGATGTTGGCTCCACCTCTCTCCAATTTCAAAATGAAGGACGTACCATTTCTGTTAGCTCTGGAGCCACCAGGTAGCAGTTTAACTCTGAGACTGAGCGTGCAGCACAGAAACTCTTTTCATCCAAGTTACAGCCAAATCTGCCATGCAGAGCACTGTGCAGCCTGGAAACATCTCTCTGTATGGCGGCAGAAATCCTCCATGCTCTCCTGCTTGTCTAAGGCTTATCTAAGCCTGATCCCGCCGTCACCGTCTGCCCAGGTGCGGGCGGGAAGCGCTGAGCCATTGGCATGGTCTCGGAGTACTTTCTTCCCAATCCCAAGCAGGAACACAAACATCCAGTCTAATAATAGCCATTGAAATGTTTAAAGCCAGAGTTCGCACTGGCGGCACAGCCCAGAAGGGTGCGTTTTAAAACCACGCAGCTTTTTTCCTGCTAAGGCTGCTGAGTCAGGGAAATTTCTCTGCAGCATGCCACCAACAAACAGCAAAAAACTGTGTTAAACACTCTCTCTCTCTCTCTCTCTCTCTCTCTCTCTCTCTCTCTCTCTCTCCTTTTTAAGCCCTCTCACGTTTTTAAGTGGATGGGCGCCAAACTGTAGTAAAAGGATCAGCAGGCCACTTCCTGCCACCCGACTCCTGGCCACTTATACCCTGAAATAATCACAGAAACTGTATTCATTTAAACACTGCCTGGCCCATTATTTCTAGCCTCTTCTTGGCTAACTCTCACATCTTGATTAACCCATTTCCATTAAATCTGTGTAGCACCACAAGGCTCTCGCTTACCAGGAAAGATCCTAACCTATGTCTGTCTTGAGCCAGAGATTCATGGTGTCTGCCTGACTCTGCTTCTTTCTCCCAGCATTCTGTTCAGTGTACTCCGCCTATCTAAGCTGCTGTCCTATCAAAAGGCCAACGCAGTTTCTTTATTTGACCAATGAAAGTAACATATAGACAGAAGACCCTCCTACATCACCTCCATATGTACAGCATGGCTTATATCCTCTGTCTTAGTCACTGTTCTACTGCTGTGAAGAGATACTGTGGCCATGCAACTCTTATAAGAGAAAGCATTTGATTGGGTCTGGCTTACAGTTTCAGAGGTTATTCCATAATCATCATGGCAGGAGCATGGCAGCATGCAGGCAGACATGGTGTTGAAGAGGTGGCTGAGAATCCTGTATCTTGACCATAGGCAGAGAGAGGCAGAGAAGACAAGGCCTGGTGTGGGCTTCTGAAACCTCAGATTCCACTCTCAGCAACACACTTCCTCTAACAGGCCCTCACCTCCCGAGTCTTCCCTGGTGACTAAGCATTCAAATAGATGATGATATGGGAACCATTATCATTCAAACCACCATACCTTCATAAACATGCATGCATACATACACGTATATAAACTAAAAAAGACTTCATTCCAGGGGAACTGGGGAATGTAGTCGTCTTAGGGTTTCTATTGCTGTGAAGAGACACTGTGACCATGACAACTCTTATAAAGGACAACGTTTCATTGGAGCTGGCTTGCAGTCGAGAGGTTTAGTCCATTATCATCACGGTGGGAGCATGGCAGCATGCAGGAAGATGCAGCGCTGGAGAAGGGGCTGAGAGTTCCGCATCCAGATCAGCAGGCAGCAGTAAGAGAGACTGAGACACTGTCCTGGCTTGAACCTCTGCAACATCAAAGCCCACCCACAGTGACACCTCTCCTCCCACAAGGCTACACCTCCCATAGTGCCGGCCCCTGTGTCTGGGGACTATTTCCATTCGAGCTACCACAGTGGGGCAATGGCAGGGCACTTACCTAGCGTGTGCAAGCACCTGAGTCCTGCCCCAAGCATTGCAAAAATTTAAAAATGCAGTTCAAGGCACGCGGCGACAATAATCCCACGGCACCTGCTGTAGTGAGTGGTTGCCTCTACGTGGGTCGGCTGGTTCCGGCCCATGATGTCAGTAAGGCACCATGGTCATCTGTAAGGGGCCCCATTACTATTCCTGTTTTGTAGTCAAGAGCACTGTGGTTGACAGGACAAGTCCGCATGGTGGCTCAGTCACTGCTGGGAGTTCTTGAAAATGCTAAGCCCTCATTGATGGGTGCTGTGTGATTGTGTGCTGGCATGAAGGCTGGCTTCTGGAGCAGATTCCAGCCCCGCTCCTTGGTTCACTGCAACTCTCTGTAACATGGAGACCCCTGTAACATCCATCTTGGGGGATTAAATACATGCTCAGGACAGCACCTTACCCTACTAAGCACCTGGTTAAAATTAGCCACTGCTAATGGGGGCCTCTGGGAATGTGGTTAAAATCAGCAGCAAAGCTCGGTTCCCAGGAAGAAATGGAAGGAGTCTGAGTTTCTGAAGCTCGTCACCAGCCGGGAAAATCCCAGAGCGGAGAATTCAGTCGTCAAGAACATGGCGCACCGTTAAGTTTCTAATGAAGGGGAAATGGTCAGGGGGACAAGAAGGTGACTCTGGGCGGGTTTGCATGCATTGTGACGTTGTTTCCTCCCCTTTCTATAGAACTCCATGAAGGTGATGTTCAAATGCCTTTGGAAAAACTGTGGCAAGGTGCTGAACACGGCAGCAGGCATCCAGAAGCACATCCGGGCCATCCACCTCGGGTAAGGTAGCCCGCTGCTCCCCTTGGAGGTGGGGCAGCCTCACAGCACAGCCCAGCAGCTCCGCTCTCAGACAGTGTGCACTGCACTGTGCCTCATGCTCCTCCTCATCCCTGCAGTGGAGGGGACACTGCTGATAGGCAGCCACAGAGTCTCCAGCCGCCCAGCCCCCCTCCCTAAACTCTTTCCTGGGTCATTGACTCAGGTCCTCACTTAAAATGACTGAGGTCAAAGACAGGCTGTGCAAAGATACAAAGTATAGAGCACAGCACCAGGGCTCCTCCCCTGGGGGCGGTGAGCACACTTCCAAGAGTCCTTGAGCCCCTGGTGTCTGTAAAATGAAACATCCAAGCGTTCATTGTTTTTGCAGGTCATGACTTAGACCCTCAAAAGCTACTGTCACTTTAAGAGAGTCTCCGAATGAACCATTCCCCACCCCCAAGGGCAAAAGGGAAAAAGTCATCACACCTTCAATGATAAAGCCAGATGAGGTGGTCAGACTCAATCTGTTGCCCAGATGAGCCTGTTTTCTTCATAAGAACCTTCCTACAGAGACACAGCTAGGGTTAGGAGCCCGCAGCTAGGCTCACAGCCAATGGCCCTGGGGTTAACCGGACATGCTTTCCTCCTGGCTCTGTTTTGTCCAGTTATCTGGGCTTTAGAAAGGATGCCCCACGACCATAGTTGTCACCAGTGTGCAGTAGGCAAATGTCAGCATCTGAGTACATCTGAGTGCTCAACACAGAAGGAAGGGTTCTTGTATCAAACAAAACGAATGTGGAGAAATAAGAGTCACCTTATCAGAAGGGAGCACACGCAGGAAGTGTGTTCTGTGTGAAAGTGGTGTAGGTGGACAGGAAGAGTTCCGAGGTTGCAGCCATGGCCCCGTTGGCTGTGAAGAGCAGCACAGAGCTGGCTCCCTAAGTCTTCAGGCAGATGTTTGGGACACACCAAAGCTTTGTAGAGCAGGATGCCCATAAGGTCACCAAGCATCAGGAATGTGGCCAAGTGAGGCCAGGTTGTGTTACCCTAGCTGAAGGCTCTGCCTGCGTGTTCAGGAAATGTCACAGTACTGCAGTGCCCCCTCCCCTGCCCCCTGGAGTGAGAATTCCTGCACAGTCTGCCCCCAGATCACTGCTTAGACTGGCAGAAATAGCTCAGAGCAATGGAACAGTTCAGGAATGGAGCAGGTGCTCATCCCTTGTCCCCCTCTCTGGGGTCCTCAGTGGCATGCCTGTCAGAAAGCCAGGCCCCACCTGACCTGATATGGCGCAGAGACATGTCCCCAGATGCCAGCAGAGAGCTTGCCAACAAGCCCTGCTAAACAGCGCATGTGCTCCATGAATGTGTATTTAGAGACTGAGAGAGCATGCAGTTTGCATTCCTAGGGGGGGCAGCATTCCTGGGTCAGCCACTTGTTGACTTCCTTAGGATCCTTTAACCAGCATGCTCTTACAGTCACCTCGGTGAGTTGTAGTTCACCATCCTGCCAGCCATTGCCCGGGAAAGGAGCTCCCGAAGGTTACAGAACCTCAAGCCCCCAGCCTGTGCTTTCTCAGACTGAGGAACCCAGTCTTTCCCCTTACTCCACGAGCCCAGGTGTGCCACTGTTGGATACTGGGCGTGTTAGTAAGCAATGACCGAGAGGCATGTCAGCCCCGCCCAAAACCAACAGGTCCTGCACCTATGAAAGTTCAGACATGCCATGCAGACTTAAAAAGTGCATGGTTTTCTCCTGTTTCTCAGCCTCTCCTCAGCTCCCAGTCTTCAGGGGCTGATCCTCTTCTGTCCCCCTGGAAAATTCATGATTTCCCTCAGGTCTGAGTGTCTATTAGTTGCACTTGGCAGCCAGCAGCAGCTCAGCCTGCCTGTGACTGGAAAGGAAGCAGGGACAGGAATAGAACAGGCACTCATTCCTTGTCCCCCTCTCTGGGGTCCTCAGTGGCATGCCTGTCAGAAAGCCAAGCCCCATCTGACCTGATACAGCGCAGAGACACATCCCCAGATGCCAGGGCTCTGAAGCGTAGAGGAAATGGAGCGAGGCTGTGAGAAGCCACTGATCTGGCCAACCCAAAGGCTGGAGGAGAACATTTTATTTTAGGTTTATACAGGGATGACTCAAGGGGAAACAAGTTTTCAGTTAGCCACCTCTGGCCATGCTGCCACGGGTGCCCATGGACTGAGGGTGCCCCTTGCTCTGACTCCTGCCATAGGTGCCCATGGACTGAGGGTGCCCCTTGCTCTGACTCTTGCCATAGGTGCCCATGGACTAAGGGTGCCCCTTGCTCTGACTCTTGCCATAGGTGCCCATGGACTGAGGGTGCCCCTTGCTCTGACTCTTGCCATAGGTGCCCATGGACTGAGGGTGCCCCTTGCTCTGACTCCTGCCATAGGTGCCCATGGACTGAGGGTGCCCCTTGCTCTGGCTGCTGCCACGGGTGCCCATGGACTGAGGGTGCCCCTTGCTCTCAGCCTTTAATCGCAGCACTCACACAGTGGGCAGAGACAGGCAGATCTCTGAGTTGGAGGCCAGCCTGGTCTACACACAGAGTTAGTTCCAGGACAGCCAGGGCTACACATAGAAACTCTGTCTCGAAAAACCAAAACCAAACAAAACATAAACAAAAATTTCCGTCAAAGCAGAGTCTATGTTTTGTTCCTGTTAGGAGGTGGAATGTTTTATATGTAATATATTCAAATAAATGATTCTCAGACAAATAAATGGATGGATAGGCAGGAATGTGGATGAACGGTGAACAGATAGATGGGTAGGTGGATGAACGGGTAGACGGATAGGGAGGTAGGTGGATGAACGGGTGGACAGATAGGGAGGTAGGTGGATGAACGGGTGGACGGATAGGGAGGTAGGTGGATGAACGGGTGAACAGATAGGGAGGTGGGTGGATGAATGGGTGAACAGATAGGGAGGTAGGTGGATGAACGGGTGGACAGATAGGGAGGTAGGTGGATGAACGGGTGGACAGATAGGGAGGTAGGTGGATGAATGGATCGATGCATAGGTGGGAAGGTGGATGAACGGGTGGACGGATAGGGAGGTAGGTGGATGAACAGGTGAACAGATAGGGAGGTAGGTGGATGAACGGGTGGACGGATAGGGAGGTAGGTGGATGAACGGGTGGACAAATAGATGGGTAGGTGGATGAACGGGTGAACAGATAGATAGGTAGGTGGATGAACAGGTGAACAGATAGGGAGGTAGGTGGATGAACGGGTGGACGGATAGGGAGGTAGGTGGATGAACGGGTGGACAGATAGGGAGGTAGGTGGATGAATGGATCGATGCATAGGTGGGAAGGTGGATGAACGGGTGGACGGATAGGGAGGTAGGTGGATGAACGGGTGGACAAATAGATGGGTAGGTGGATGAACGGGTGAACAGATAGATAGGTAGGTGGATGAACAGGTGAACAGATAGGGAGGTAGGTGGATGAACGGGTGGACGGATAGGGAGGTAGATGGATGAACGGGTGGACAGATAGGGAGGTAGGTGGATGAACGGGTGGACAGATAGGGAGGTAGGTGGATGAATGGATCGATGCATAGGTGGGAAGGTGGATGAACGAGTGGACGGATAGGGAGGTAGGTGGATGAACGGGTGGACGGATAGGGAGGTAGGTGGATGAACGGGTGGACGGATAGGGAGGTAGGTGGATGAACGGGTGGACGGATAGGGAGGTAGGTGGATGAATGGGTGGATGGATAGGGAGGTAGGTGGATGAATGGATGGGTGGGTGGTAGAAAGACTGCTCTAAGAAGTCTTTATTTTCTGTTTCTGTGGCATAATACCTGATGCCAAGTAAGTGAAAGGAGCGGAAGTTTATTTGGCTCACGGTTCTGGATGCTGAATCTATGGCATTAATATAGGCATCTAGATGTTCAGCATCTGGTGAATTTGATATGATCAGACAAACCAAATCTACTTGCTTGTCTTCGCCTCCTTTCGGAGCCACTAGTGCTATCACGCCCGCATCCTCTTGACCTTTCCTAACACCATTGGTGTAAGAGTGTGGAAGTCACGTTCCTAGCAAACAGTGTTGGTGGTGGAAGCTGGTGAAGACCTCCCTCAAAGGGTCGCCGAGTGCTGCAGGGCAAATGTGTCGGCTCCCAGGCTAGCAGAGAGGAGAGTGTTCCAGGTCGAAGGAGTGGTCTGCCCAAGGTGGAGGCAGATGGACAGATCGCTGAGCTTTGCTTTCTCCTCCCTAGGCGAGTTGGGGAATCCGACTACAGTGATGGAGAGGAGGACTTCTACTACACTGAGATCAAGCTCAACACGGACTCCATGTCTGAGGGCCTGGCCCCGGTTTCGCCCTCGCAGTCCCTGACCTCACCTCCCACGTTTCCTGTCCCAGACTGCAGCCGAACAGAAGCGCCTTGTGCCAAAACAGACCCCAAGCCGATGACGCCGCTGAGCCGCTCAGCCCCCACCACCCTCTACCTCGTGCACACGGACCATGCTTACCAGGTAACATGCTAGGGTCCTGTCAAAAGCAGTAGCCCCACCCTCAGCCTAGAACTGCAAGAGAACTCAACAAAACACAGCTCCATGCATGGCAACCAGTAATTTAGTTGGTTTTTTTTTTTATTTTTCAAACTCTTAGTCATGATCTCAAGTCGTAAGTGGTGGATCATGCGTTTAATCCCAGCACTCGGGAGGCTGAGGCAGGAGGATTATGAATTTGAGGCCAGAGCTGGGCTATAGAGTTTAAGGGCAGCCTGACCTACATAGTTGAGACTTGGTCTCTAAAGCCAAACAACAAGAAGAAGGGTCTGAGCTCTTGGTTACTCAGGAGCCTGAAGCAGGAGGATCACAAGTTTGAAGCTCGCTAAGATGATAGGGCACATCCATGACCATCCTGGGCAAGTTGGTGGTAAAAGGGAAAGCAGAGGGCTTGGGGTGAGCTTAGTCCTACAGCACTTGCTCCTTTGCCAATCTTCAGAACCGCTGGGGGACAGTCATGACCTCATTCACATGGACCCTGGAGATTGTTCTTGAACTCCCCAGAACCAGCTGAAGGCCCAGTCCCTTAGAAGCTGTTAAAAGGGTAAAACTCCTTAGCCACGTAAAGTCCTCAGGTTGGTGACTGGCATAGCTTCCAAGCATCTGATATGTGAAAATTAAGCCAAAAATGGTGGCATGCACCTTTGAGCAGGGGACCTCTGAGTTCAATGCTAGCCTGATTTACAGTATTAAGTTCCGGGTCTGTCAGGGCTTTTTAGTGAGACCTTGTCTCAGAAGGGTAAAGTCAAGAGACCAGCAATGTATCAGGCTTGCCCCAAGCCTAAGGAGTCGCTCAGTCCCAGGACCTACATGGTATAAGGAAAGAACAATGTTTGGAAATTGTCTTCTGGCCATCCATATGCTATACACATGGCCACAGGAAATACATTTCTTTTAAAGGTGTCATTTGTTTTGTTTTGTTTTTGAGACAGTGTCCCTCAATATCCCTGGCTGTCCTGGAACTCACTAGAGTACACTGGCCTCGAACTCACAGAGATCCGCCTGCCTCTGCTTCCCAAATGCTGGGGCTAAAGGTGTGTGACACCATGCCTGGCTAATTTAACATTTTTAATAAAAACTAAAGTGAATGAAAAATTGAGCCTTGTTTGGCAAGCTTTGGAGCAGTGACAGAGGTCATACCACATAGCTGGGATTTCAGCATCTCCACTGCTAAGTAAGTAGCTAACCCTCTCCAGTGGCTGCTAGTGTTCCCCAGTCCAACAGTGTCAGCACTCTGTAGAAGTTGTTTCAAATGGAAATTGTTTGAACACTACCCAGACCAATCGACTGGGTCATAGCTAGGACTCCAGAAGCCTAGGGACTTAGAAGTAAATCCTTCTAACACAGGCCATGGCTACCCTAACAATTAGGGTACCTCAGGCAACTTCATAAAAATCTTCTCTGCATTTTTGAAATTACATTCCCCTACCTATTTTATAAAAAAATCCAAATAACTGTATAGTACACTGTTGACTGAGTTTTCTGTCTCACCTGGTTCCCATGATCTACATTAGTTATAAAATGATTGGCCCATTAGCTCAGGCTTCTTATAACTTATAACTCTTACAACTTATATTAACCCATTATTCTTGTGTATGTCAGACACATGGCTCAGTACCTTTTTCAGCAAGGCAGTCACATCTTGCTTCTTCTGTGGCTGGGCAACGAATGCATAGGAATGGGCTTCCTCCTTCCCAGAATTCTCCTGTTCTCATTGACCCGCCTCTACTTCCTGTCTGGTTATCCCACCTATACCTCCTGCCTGACTACTGAACAATCAGCGTTTATTTAAAATATAATTGACAGAATACAGATTATGGTCCCACACCAGTATCCAATTAATTAAATTGAAATAATCATTTTAATCATTCTGATAGTTTATGTGACTGACTACCATGGTTTTCCATTGTCGTGACCACATGGTGCTGGGCATAGTATTACGTGCCTTTAATCCCAACACTTGAGAGGTGGAGACAGCCTCAGGATTTTAACAAGTTTGAGGCTAGTCTAGGTCAAAAAATAAATAAAAAACAAGAAAAAGGGGGGTGGGCTACTATGAACATTCTCTGCCTGTAGCTTTTTTAGCTTTCATCGTAATTCTCAGCAGTGTCATTTCATTATTGAGTGATGTAGAACATGAACGAAGAGTTTATGGATATTTCTATCTACTGCCAACGTGTTTCCCAATGATGCCAGATAACACAATCGCCATAACTAGCTGGAATATTTGTAATTCAAAAACAAAAACAAGTAAACCTGGAGAAGACAGATGCAATCACTTTCTATATAGACTTGACTTCTGTCATCTCCATTATAGCTATTTGATCAATTTTAAATTTTTTTATTAAACTTTCATTTCTTTTGTGTACATGTGTATGCACACACATTTGACATTGTACATGTAGAGGTCACAGGACCTTCCACTCTGTGGTCCTAAGGATCAAACTCAGATCTTCAGGCTTGTCAGTAGGCATCTTTACCTGCTGAACCACATCACTGGCCAAGCCTCCAAACATGTTCCGAATACACGATTGTGCAGCAAATATCGTTGTGTCCATTTTCTTAGAATCAACCCTTAAACGTGAGGTGTCTGATGGGCAAAACAATGAGAATTTCAATGTATATCACTAAATTACCCTTATAAAATATTTATAACTCACATGTACCCATTTCCAAATGTATTGTTCAGGTATTTATTTTCTGATTTGATAGTCAAGAATTACTTGTATATGTCCAAAAATTTGGTGATTAAATTTCAGAAACTGAGAGCCAAAAGCCATGTCCTATGCCTCAAGTAGATTGAGGCGTATGTATAAGATTGCTTCTACATAAGCATGTATAAGATTGCTTATATGTATATGAAAGGCTTGTTTCTGGATACTCTATGGCCCTGTTTAGTCTCTGCCTGCTAGCGTACATTCCAGAGCTGTCCTGCCTGTCCCCGTAGCCCAGCTTTGGTAATGAGGGCCAAGACCCTGGACAGCCAATCTTTTCTTCAGCCCTCTCTGCTTCCTGTCTCACAGGCCACGCCCCCAGTGACTATTCCGGGGTCTAAGTTCACCCCCAACGGCAACAGTTTCAGCATTTCCTGGCAGTCTCCTCCGGTTACGTTCACCGGCATTCCCGTAAGTACCGAAGCATGACAAGGTGAGCCAAACGGACACTGAGAGAGCCAACTGTGGGACAGACACGAGAAAGATGGAGTTGGTGCCCAGAGCACCACCACGGGTTAGCCCTATGTAGTTGAGGATGGCCTGTGACTGCTGCCCCCGCCCCATGAACGCTGGTATTACAGGTGCACTCATCACATCTATTTCCAGAGGCTCATGCTTCCTTCTTTTTTAAAATTGCTTTATTTTTCATTTTATTTGTATGTGTGTTTTGCTTGCTTGTATATCTGTGCACCACATGCATATAGTGCCTGTGGAGGCCAGAAGAGGGCGTCAGATCCCCTAGAACTGAAGTTACAGATGTGATCCTCCATGTGGGTACTGGGAATCAAACTCAGGTCCTATCTGGAAGAGCACTCAGTGCTCTTAATGACTGAGCCATCTCTCCAATCCCAGGTATATTGTCCTGAATTGACACTTGTAGATTCATGGGCAAGCTGTTGTAATTGAGGTGGGTGCAGTGTCTCTGGGAAAAGATGCTTTCCTGATACTTTAGGAAGCCAGAAGAGCGTGTTAGCTAGTGATGCTGGGCTGCGCTGTGTGCATCTCCAAGGCCTGTAGAGTGAACAGTTTGACCCACCTTTCTACAGAGCTTGTTTACCATTGCAAATCTCTCTGTAAATCTTGTTAGTTTGACATATTGTCCTGGAGGTATACCATTTGAAGATCCAAAAGTTAAATAAATTGAAATCACTTTCTTTTCTTTCAAAGCCTAAGCAAAAATAAAATAAAGTAAATGAATGCTACAAGTGCAGCCATATTTAGGTGCTAAATAAAAATTAGCTCAATGTATTAAATGATCCTGCTAAACCACTGTGGATTTACTTGGCTCCTAACAGTTCATTTTAAAACATTCTGGATCCGACCTAGTTTTCTCTGAGACTGACCTGCACTGTCCCCGTCTCCACAAGCGGGTGTGACTCCCGATGCGACTCAGAACTAAGCTAACAATAGCAGATGTTAAACCTTATTTTTTTCTCCCGCACTTACACAAAGCAACTCCTTGGCAAGCCCCAGCAAGTTCTAGAGGTTTCAGCTCCTAAGGATGAATAACTATGCTGTGTTCTGCCCATTAATATTTACCAAACTCAACAAAAGGATTGGTGACAGCAAATGGCCTCCTGCTGGCTTCCAGAAAATACTCCTGTGATTTCTCAAACACTACCATAAACATGGAATAATTACTAAAGTCACTGAATGGTGGTAACCCCTGGCCACTCTCAGGGAGTGACCGTGGACACTCTTGCGTTAGTTTTGTTTGTAGCACAGACATTTGTCCACTCCTGTTCCCATTGGATAAGAACCACTTCCTCTCAGGACTTTCCCTTGGGAGACATAAAAAGGCCCAGAGTGCCTTGCCGTTTGCACTTTGCCATTAGCCCATCTGTGATGGTTAGTGCTGCCAACTTGACAGAATCTAAAATTACCTGGGAGGCAGGCCTCCGGACATGCCTTTGGGAGACTGTCTTGTGTTGATCGGAATGGGAAGACTGGGGTAGTGGTGGTAGGGGTCAGGGAGATAGGCAGGCAGAAAAGAACATAGAAAGAGAAATGGGAAGCTGGCCTGCCATGGTTGGCACCATTTCCTGGCTGCGAATCTAGACAGTATAAATGAAGGGAACTCAACAAGAGATGAGTGTGTATCCATCACTCTCTGCTTCCTGATTGTGGCCACGATGTGTCCCTGCGTCAAGTTCCCACTGCCTTGGCTTTCCCATCATAGTGGAGTATGCCCTTGAACCGTGGACCAGAATAAAGTCTTTCCAGGGTATTCTATTACAGCAGCAGAAAGGGGGGCTAAGATGCCTTCTTTGATAGCCTAGCGCATTTAGTTACTTTCCCTGTTGCTATGACCAAATCACAACAAAAGTAACTTAAGGAAGGAAGGGTTTATTTGGTCTCACAGCCCACCATGGTGGTGTTGGGTGTGGCAGTGACTGGTGGCATTGGGTGTGGCAGTGAATGACCATGTTGTATCCATTGTGGTAGTGTTGGTTGTGGCAGTGACTGGCCGCGTTGTGTCCTCCGTGGTGGCGTTGGGTGTGGCAGTGACTGGCCGCGTTGTGTCCTCCATGATGGCGTTGGGTGTGGCAGTGACTGGCCATGTTGTCTTCACCATGGTGGCGGTGGGTGTGGCAGTGACTGGCCGAGTTGTCTTCACCGTGGTGGCGTTGGGTGTGGCAGTGACTGGCCATGTTGTCTTCACCATTGTGGCGTTGGGTGTGGCAGTGACTGGCCGCGTTGTGTCCTCGGTGGTGGCGGTGAGTGTGGCAGTGACTGGCCATGTTGTCTTCACCATTGTGGCGTTGGGTGTGGCAGTGACTGGCCGCGTTGTGTCCACAGTCTGAAGCAGGGAGGTATGAACGCTGCTGCTCCACTCACATCCAGTCTTTTTCCGGGCCCAGGCCACAGGAACCCAGGTTCAGGGTAGGTTTTACGCGCTCCCTGGTGCCTTTCTGGAAAGCCATCCCAGAAACACCCAGAGTGTGTGCTCTAGGTGACACACAGTCGCACCTAGACCGAAAGCTGCGGACCCGCAATGACAGCTCCTTAGCTTCTGCTTTAACGCGGGAAGACTTTCCAGCACTCGGCCGTTCATCTGGTGTAAAAATAAGGATAGAGTGAGACAGGAGAGCCTCGGGTTTCCTCACCGCTGCCGCAACAGTCCAAACTTGATTTCCACCGCACTCTGGCCTCGTGTACCAGGCAGATGCTCCACTGTGAAGCCACGTCTCTCTTTCCAGTTGTGATTTTGATACAGGATCTTATGTAATTGTTCAGGTTGAACTTAAAAACTCACACTATACTTTTTCAGTCACAGTCCAGCTGGCCTTGGTGAGCTCCCAATAGATCAGCTCCACTGTCTCCGTGGGTGGGTGCACCCCTCGTGGTCCCGACTTCTTTGCTCATGTTCTCCCTCCTTCTGCTCCTCATTGGGACTTTGGGAGCTCAGTCCAGTGCTCCAGTGTGGATCTCTGTCTCTATCTCCATCCATCACCAGATGAAGGTTCTATGATGATATGCAAGATATTCGTCAGTATTGCTATAGGATAGGGTCATTTCAGGTTCCCTATCCTCAGCTGCCTAAGGAACTAACTGGGGACCTTGGCTTGGGCATCTGGGAGCCACTCTAGGTTCAAGTCTCTTGCCAACTCTAAGGTGGCTCCCTTAACTAAGAATTGTGCTTCCGAAAAAGCATGGGATAAAACTGGACTCTCTGAGCATGGCGAACAATGAGGGCTGATGAGAAGCCAAGGACAATGGCACGGGGTTTTGAACCTACGAAATGTGCTGGCTTTGTGGGAGCCTAGCCAGTTTGGATGTTCACCTTCCTAGAAATAGATGGAGAGGGGAGGACCTAGGACTTACCACAGGGCAGGGAACCCTGACTGCTCTTTGAACTGGAGAGGGATGGGGAGAGGAGTGGGGGGAGCGGGAGAAGGGTGCGAGGAGGGGGAGAAGGGTGGGAGGAGGGGGAGGGAAATGGGAGGCTGGGAGGAGGTGGAAACTTGTTTTTTTTTTCTCCTTTTCTCAATAAAAAAATGGAAAGAAAAAAAAAAAAACCTCACACTATAGCCCAGGCAAATGTTGAATTCGCTACCCTGCCTCGGGCTCCACCATGCGTAGCTTCTTCTGGGCTGTTTTTAAATTAAACTGTCATAGAGATCTCATTCTGGGTTTTAACCAGCTGTCTGTCCTCCCAGTTCCTAAATATCTCTGCAGGATGCCAGCCAGGATTCCTTATGGTGTTTGTTTTCCAACAATGAATCTTCGAAGTCTTCTATGAACACTGTAGCTGTCTCTACCTTCAGTCTTAATCCTCCCCCATGAACTGGCCGTCTTTTGGTCCAGTGAGTTGTCAGTTAACACCCAGTGCTCAGCTTTTGGGAGCCACCACCCCAGGCCTGAAGGAATTCCTGGTTTATTTACTTATTCATGTACATATTTATTTACAAAATATTTCATTTCTGTGTTAGTTTCCAGGGATATTCTAGCAGCGAGATTGCACTTACATGCACTCTCTGGGTTAACTGGAGATTCTGCCTCCTGTGGCTGTTTCTCATTTATCCTTTTCATTTTGTTGTGTGGTTTTGTGTTATTTACATACATTTTATATCCGTGTGTGTGTGTGCGCGCGCGTGCATGCATATGTGTGTATACATGTGTGTGCACAAGGTGTTCAGACAACAGTGGACACCAGTTGTCCTCTTCCGTTGTTCTGCACCTTCTTGTTCCAGGCAGGTCTCTGTACCTGGAGCCCACGTATCTAGTTAAACTGCTGCTTAGTGAGCTCCGGGGACCTGCCTGCCACCACCTCTAGCACGAGGGCTGCAGTTAGTGAGCTCCTCGCATCTGCCGGCCCCGCCTCTAGCAGGAGGGCTACAGGTGTTGCTGTGTCCATTTTACAGGGGTGCTGGCTTCCACACTTTGTTCCTCATGATTACACCATGGGCACTCTATCAACTACTGAGTCTCTCCCAGCCTCCGTCCCCGATTTCTGATTTATTCTTAGACCAGAGAGTTTGCAGTCTCTCTGGTTTGTAATCTGCTTTGGCCGAGACTCAGGTAAACACTGCAGCAGTCAGACTTGCCGTTCCTATTTTAAGGGTCTGGTGTATTTTTAAAAGCTTTGCTGGACTCTAGAAAGACAAGAATGGAGCACAAATAGTATTCCTTATGCTCCTGCGTGCCCTGTCGGTACTTTCAGAGAGAAAAGAGTCGGAGCCTGCTGGCCTGTTGCCCCGTGGGCGGGCATTCTGAACAGTCCATCCCACAGCCGCAGGGTTGGCATGTCCACGGACTTCGTGCCAACCAATGGCTCGCCCTAACCCCTAGAAAATAGGGAGCCGGGCAGAACCCAAGAACATGACTGAAGTGCCCTACTCTAAAATGGTTTTAGATAGCAACTCTCAAGTTTTTAAATTATAAAGAACATTAAGGATGAGTCTGTCTAAAAATTCCAAACCCAGTGGTTTTTATGTTATAGACATTTCTTCTGTCTTTGTGCTCTGAGACAGATGCCCCTAGGTGGTCACCCTGGGACACAGGTGCCTTTCCTTCTGCACTTTGAGCTCTGGTATTGAAGAGAGCCCTGAGGACACTCCTAGAGGAAGCCTTAGAGCAGCCCCCAGGGCTGCAGGCTTCTGCTGACTTTTGTGTGAGCGCTTCCCGGTATATGGCCCTGGAGACTCCTGTGCAGACACCGCTGCCCTTCGCTAGCCTGAGCTGGGGGTGTGCAGGAGGAGCAGGCCATCCTTACCACTGCTTTCCTTCTCCTCTTGTCCTGGTGGCTGGCCTCTAGTCTTCACAGCTACAAAATGCCGCTCTCTGTTGTTTTGACTGAAAACTAAGAGGTCTTGGTCCCTTCGTCTCAAGCTACCACAGCAAAACTGCATACAGTAGGCAGTGTTATCAGCAGCCGGTTCCTTCCTGGAAGCCGCAAGTCCAACATCAGGCTGTTGACTATTTACCTCTGGTGAGAGCTCTCCTGGTTTGGAGACATCTGCAGTTGGAGCTCTGCCTTCACTTGGCTTTTCTTCAGTGTCAACAGTGAGAGAGAGGGGCACATGCATGCCAGCCCTCTGGTATCTAGTCTTGTTGAGGTGCGTGCGTGCATGCATCTCTTCTTATAACAACACTGGTCCTATTGGGTCAGGGCCTACACTATGGCCTCATCTCACCTTGATTTCTTGAAGGGTTTATTGTTCAACACACCCAGACTGAGGATTTAAATTTCCAACATAAAATTTTAGGAGAAGTGGGGAGGTCAGGCATGCTGGTATATACCTCTAGTCCCAGCACTTGAGAGATAAAGACAGAAAAATCAAGAGTTTACAGCCAACCTCAACCACATAGTAAATTTGAGACCAGCCTGAGCTACATGTTCCCAAAAGTGGGAGGAAGTGAGTAGAAAGCCCATGCTTCACGTGGGGTAGTGTTGTAGTTCTGATATGAAGTGACATACCACACAGGTTCATGTGGACATCACTCGTCCCCACCTGGTGCTGTGTAGAATGTTGTGACACCTTGAGGAGGAGAAGGAGGAGCCTAGCTGGAGGAAGCAGGTTGATGCTGGAGGCTCCTAAAGTTCATATCTACTTCCAGCCCGGCCTACCTTGTCCGAAACTGAGCAGGTCGTGCCCTCTCCCAGCATGGACGAATCCCTGAACTGTGAGCCCAGATAAGCTTCTCCTGTGGGTTGTTTCTGTCACGTATTCTGTCCCAATCACAGGAAAAGTAGCTAGTGCAACTGCTTGCCTAGAGACAGGATTGTAAATGCTCCTGAGAGATTATTCCAGTCACTATGAGAAAGAGAAGATCACAAGGAAATTTCTCTAAAACACATACAGAGAGGCACCACGAATCTATATGATTGCTCCCATGTGAGGCACAGTTAAAATCCCTTGCTCTAGCATCCATGAACTCTGATCTCAAGCCTGGCACAGGACTTTTCTAAAGCAACCTCGTGTTGCTCAGCACAGTGCCTGGCATGAGGCTAGCAAGAGATGCTTACGCTTACTGCTGTTGTTACTGAGAACAACGGAGTCAGACTTCCTGTTTAGAAAGTGCTCCGTATAGCTCAAGTGTCCTCACTACCTGGGAGAGATTAGCTGTGATTTCAAACACTATTGTTTAGAGTTCTTTAAACCCCCCGGAAGTCATTATCTACTCAGTAAACATGTTGTGGTCACATAGCCTAATAATTGTATTCATTTATAAATAATAGCATCTAATACCATCCATAGTACTACAAAGTATGTTTTATACTTAGTAAAATATACTTCAAGGTAGACTTTTGAAAAAGTTTGAGGCACAAAACGAAGATTAAAATGTAGAGAACAGGGCCGATGAGATCCTGGGTGGTAAATGCTTGCTGCATCAGATGACAAGCTTGAGGGCTGTCCCTGGACCCTCGTGCAGGTGGCAGCAGAGAGTGGCCACCCTGGTAGCCCTGGCCATGTTGGTGTTGAGGGTAGCAGTGTGGAACTGTGTGGAGCTTAGAGCTGGAAAAACCACTGTGTGCTCCGAACCTCGTGTGCTTTTCCATGGGCATTTGGAAGATAATAATAATGAGAGAAGGAGTGTGCACGTCCCCTACTCTGTGGGGTCTGGGACAGGGACACCAATCAGCAGGATCCTCCTTACCTGGTCAGCTTAGCCTTTATTCCTCCAGCTACAGAGCTCCAGCCTTGCCTGTTTAACTCCTACAGCTGAAAATCAACAGTTTGTCTCCATGGTTTTTTGCGCACGGACCCTTGCCCACACCACTGAGGCCTAATAGCTGTGTGGGAGAGTCTGTCCTGTCAACCTGATTTTCCTTGTGTTCCCCAGGTGTCTCCAACACATCACCACCCAGTGGGCTCAGGAGAGCAGCGACAGCACGCTCACACGGTCCTGTCCTCCCCGCCCAGAGGGACAGTCAGCCTAAGGTATGATTGCTTGACGCTGCAGACTTCACCACAAGGAATTTCCTAGAAAATGGGAAAATAGCAAAAAGGAACCAAAACCTTCCGGTTCCACGACCTTTTGTAGTTTCTCCTCAACCCATGAAGCATGCTTGCTTTCTTTCATTCCCATAGCTAGTAAAGAGCACTTCCATTTGTAGGGTAGGTAATGGTGGTCGCTGTCTTGCATTAACTCTGTATGACATGAGTGATAGTTTATGGTTTGCATCTAGATCCAGGAAAGTCTCCTGGGAAGCCTCCAACCAGATTTCAGAACACAGGAAAGGAAAGAAAGGCACACTGAAAATTTGGAAGAGTGGTGTTGCTCCCTGCCATTCCATGCTTGTTTGTTTGTTTTTGTTTTGCAGGAGGGAGGGTATTTGGGGGAGCAGAAAAGTGTGTGTGGTGTGTGTATGAATATATGCATGGTGTACCTGGGGAAGTCAGAAGACATTCAGGTGTTAGTCCTACTACCATACTTGGACAGGATCTCTCATTCACCCACCGCGTATGCCAGGTGAGCTGGCCCGAGAGCTTGCAGGGATCTCCCTGTCCGTGCCTCCCGCCATGCTGTGTAAGTGCTAGGATTACAGACGCGTGCTGTCAGGTTCAGCTCTTCAGGTTCTGGCGGTCCAAACTTACTCCTCGTACTGGAACAGCAGCTGCTTTCTTCCCAGTCCCTAACTCCTGTGTTTACTTCCTTAACCTTACAAAATGACCAGATGGACATTTCCATGAATGAAATTTAGGAGCAGCTTAAGTAGAGCAGCCGGGCAAATACCCAGCCTGCAGAGAGCTTCTGCTCCCTCTGGGCAGGCTTTTGTCTTTCTCTTGCCCCCTCACTCTTCTGAACTCTCTCCAGAAGGCCCTGTCCCTGAACATATCTGTGCTGTCTGTCCTACAGGAAGCCCAGAGGTGAAGGCAAAAAGTGCCGCAAAGTTTATGGGATGGAAAACCGGGACATGTGGTGCACCGCCTGCCGCTGGAAGAAGGCGTGCCAGCGCTTCATCGACTGAGCCATCCCTGCCCCACTCTCACGACGGGTGGTGAGAAAGCCTCTCCTTCCAAAGGAAGCCATTCAAGGCCCAGGGAAAGCCTTTCCTGGAATTCTGGGAATATAATTCCATGGTGGAATTAAAGCAAAAAAAAAAAAATATCAGCACCTGCACTGCTCTGAGAGCCCAGACAAGAGCAGCAAAAGTGACTTTTTCCTTCAAAAGAAAAGTAACTTTGCTTACTCTCCGTCTGGTCTTAAAACTGGACTTCTGTAGCAACCTAACCAACCAGGCCATTTTACCTAGAAAGATTTTGATAAGCTTTCTGAATTATGGTATTTTCAAGGGGTTTTCACACGTAAACAGTACATTCATAAGCTACACAATATTAGCTAGTATTTGTACAAAGGATAACCCACCTTGTGAATAGCCGTCTCCCTGTTTTCCAGCCAGCTGCTTGGAGCAGTCTGGATCATGATGTATTTGAAGAAAGAGCTGCAGTCTGGCTGTCTTCTTCTGTGTCTGTTTTGTTTTCACAAAGGACCCAAGGAGAAACCTTGTAAAGATGGTAGCTTGGAGCCCCAGGTAGCTTGAGGCCAAAAGTGACTGGCAGTGGGAATCACAGGCAGACTTCAGCTGCAGGCTGAGGCCACGAGCCACTTCAGAAAGCATCTGGGAGTCGTCCTTGGCCCCCAAGTGGTGGTCCACCTACTTCTCTGCCTGGCACAGCTCAGGTGAGAGCTGGCACCGGGGCCATCTGGTAAGCCTCGACGCTTCTTTCAGGAATGTCACAGGAACTGCAGCTGGGGCAGTGCCTGGCTTTGTCTGGTCAATCTGTGGCCAGGACCGTGGGCTGTCATCCTGCTCTCCAAACACTGACAAGTGGAAATCTCCAGACTGCCTCACAGCTGTGCTCCAGGCAGAGGGTGGCTGTCGTGCCCCCGTCTGTGAGAGAGTTCCACCAGGGCAGCAGATCCACCTCCCTTCTGAGTGCACTTTTATCCATGGCATGCTCCACATGTCGTAGGGTGAGTTAGTGGACAGAGTGGCATATATGGATAACAGATAGAAACCTTTCATTTCTTACAAAAATATTAGAGAGATGAATTAAGAATTTGCTCAGAAACTAACTTAGGGGATGCCCAAAGGGAAATGCATCTTGGTATAGGACTCTCCCCATCTAATAGGGCCAGGGCTTGCACTGGAATGCCTATGGAATGTCTAAATCAGTGGATTTGCATGTTTGAGGGCTGGAGCGTGGTAGGCAGCCACCAAGCCTCGTCAGAACACTTCTGCCCTGCTTAAAGAACTGGATGTCCTGTACCTATGCAAAGTAAGAGTAAGAGCACCTTAGAGGAGGCACTGGGGTTGGGGGCGTGGTGTCAGCCATACGAATGTTAAGTGAAATTGCACAGAGAAAAGCTTAATATATGTTTAAAGATTGTACATAGCGTTTTTTTACAGAGTGGGACGAAGTCATCTAGCAATCAGAGACCCCTTTTATGTTAGGGTCATATGGAGGTTCTGCAGCGCAACACCCTGAATTTCTGCCTTCATGTATTTTGGCAATCTTATTTTTTAAATTCATGTGACTTTTTACAAGATTATTTCTTGAAAGAGATCCTGATCTGTTTCTTCAGGTATTTAAAAGAAAAAAAATTATTTCAAGAGACAAGAAAATGTGCTCTATCTGATTCCCCATAGGCTGATAGTCGACATCAGGGCACTGGCTCTCCTGGGTGTTTTGACGGTAACCAGGAAACAACATTTTTTTTAAACACAGAGCTGAGGTGTTCCCCGCTCCCCCTCCCCCCGGCTATGTCCTCTCTCCTATCTCCAGTAGTCTCTGCTGTGAAGTGATGTCCTAGCTGGTCCAAGAAGTCCTGAGCCACACACAGATTGTCATGGCCAGCTGTCTGATCAAGCTCACTATGCGCTTAAATAATAGATGGACCCTAGGCCAGAGGTTTTTCTCCTCAGCAAAGTTTCCTGGAATTTATTTTATCTCAGATGAAGACTTTAATCAAAATACTGCAATGATGTGAAGTCAAATCCATCTTCTCCTGAAGGACTTCGGGGTGAAGGAATGCGCTATGCATGAGAACAATCCTTAAGCAAGGCGTCGTGGCCGTCTCCCCCAGACACAGCCCAAGGGTAGTTCTGCATAACTGCACATTGTCAGCGGAGCCTGGGTCCCTCCTGTCCTCTGCAGCCTTCATCACACCAGCTCTTCTGCATGGCCAGCCCTCATCGGGCTTCCAGGTGCAGACAAGTCCTAAGGCCAGTTCTGGACACACATGCTGCCCGTTCCCAGTGTGGAAGGGTGCAATCTCCAGGGAACCAGAAAGCTCTGGATTGCAACATACAGTTGCTGATTATATGAGTTACATTTTGTTATGAGTTACATTTTTTTAAGTAGTTATTTTGTTATTTGGGGAACCAAATGAAGTGCCAAATGAAGCCTGACTTTTCATCTGATGCCATCTCCATGAAGCTAAGTTCTTTTTGTGTCTGCATTTTGTGGAGAAGCAAAGAGAGAATGGATGAGAAGACGTATCCCAGGCGAGCTGGCTGCTAGCCTACAGCTGTGTGCATCCCCAGGGCTAACAGCCCTGTCTACAAAGGAGGGGTGCGCGCACTGAATTCCTGTCCAGTGAAAATGTCTGATTCTTTTTCTTCCATGATGTCCCTTTCTCCAAAACAGGTTTCTCATTTCTCCCTGAGAACGTATTTCAGTGACTGACAGCACATTCTCTAGCCAGGCAAAGCAAGCGCAATGGGCGCGACAGGCAATAGTTTCCAGCCTCAGCCTTCCTGGAGGATGGACACTTTGTGTCTGGAAGTCAGCAAGACAACATGGAGAAAACCCCCAGGGTAGCAAGTATGTCCAGGAGGCAGTGCAGGAGACCTGAGCCCCCCTGCCTCCAGCTCATCTTGGGGCTAAGCAGCCAGGGATCCTCCATGTCTGTTGCAACTGTCTGAAACAGGACAGGAGCTGCTTTGTCGAGGCTTACCCTTCTGCCATCTTTTGTCCAGAAGTATCTCTGTGGAGTGAGAAAAGCCAGCGTCAGGAAGAAAGCAATGGGTTTCGGAAGCAGAGTGGGCTTTAGAGTGACTCTTGACAGCTCCATGGCCAAGAGGTTTCCTTAGGAGATGATCCCTTGCCTCCTGTGACCAAGCTCCAAATGAGCATTATCAGTAAAGAATAGCACTCTCTTCAGAGATGGTCACATGTATGTTGCAAAAAAATTCTGAAATTGAATTGTTCCCCATTGCAATTCAAGATGTCAGAAGTTGAAGTCTGTCATCTCTGGGCTCCTAGTGAGCCAACCTTGCAAGAGTCCATTTCATCTCTCACTTCAACTGTACTACATGACAAGGGTGGCCCTCACTGGAGGAGGTTTGAGAACGAGGTGAGGACTGTATCTGCGCAGGAGAATACATCGAGCTTAGCAGCAGAATACTGTAACACTGCTCATTTCCTCAGGGAAGCAGGAAGGATGTGCGAAGACAGATCTGGAGAACCCCAGGACTAGGAGGAATTGTATGGTCTCAAGTCGTTTCTTGTCAGAACAAGTTGATTTTTTTTTCATGTGAACTCAGTATCATTTCAACACAAATCCATGCCAACTGGACAGTGTCAGCTTCCGTGAGGTGTGGCAGATGCACCCACTGTCTTTTTGTAGCCGACCTAAAGCTGACTGGTGTTTGAGCCCGGGTATTCGTAGACACGGTGAGGCTTTCCCTGAATGTGATTGTGAACAAGGAGCCTCGCTGTTCCCTGTTGTAATCTCCTGGTTTGGGCAGTTGTTGATCAGCTCTGCACAGCGTTCCCTAGGTGAAAGAGTGCTGTTGGAGACCCGGGCTTCGCTCTAGTGCCATGTTGAGGAGCTCACTGCTGTGGACAAGGTGCTGCTCTTTCTCACATCCTGTGGGATTCCCACCACCCATGTCATCTGTAGCATTGACCTGTGTCAGTAGATACAAATGGGCGACACAGCAGGTAGTATGGAGGCGCGGGTCTTACGGTGTGGGGCATGCAAGCATATGAGTCAACTGGAAAGTTTATTTCTGGAAGAAACCCACCAGCAGCACACAGGCTCCCCTGTCCTCCTACCTATGGGGATTTCTCCATGTTGCAACCATTTCATCCTGTCTTTTCTGCATTGTAGAAATTTAGCCAAATGGAAAGTTAGTAAATTCAATAAGGTTAGCACTTTTAGGTACCAATTGTCCTGAGTAACGCACACCAACACAGAGCAAGGAAGTACGTAATGTACTCGCGACTGACTTGCTTCTGCTGACTGACATTGGAAAGGTCTATTTCCAGTGATACACATGCTTTAAAGAGTGTACCTGCCACAGGACGAGCAATCAAAGTGAGAGCTTCGTCTCCTGTCCTGTTTTGTAAATAGCTCCTTGTTTTCCGAAGACAATCTCGTGTTTTATAACTTTTGTTGTGTGGGTCTGAGGATCACAATTGTAATGTGTGATATAATCTTAAGTACAATAATAATTACAACTTAAATTTCCAAATGAAAGAAATATACTGCTTCAGCATCTACAAGAGACATGTCACTTTTATAATGAGCGTTAGTACTTCTCAAGTTTATCAGAACTGGAAATATTTTACAAGATACACTGTTTTATAATGACAGAGAACATGAACACTTTGTGGGAAATGACCTTGGTTTTATACATTGTAGCTTATTTTTAAAAAATGCAGTATTTTAACTGACAGGAAGTGTTGATATGGTACACAGTTCCTGTTCACCAATCCAAGGGCTATGCCTCTTTTAAGCAAGTGTTTTGATGCGTACTTTTTAAACCCTCTGAGCAAGGGTCGGAATGCAGAACAGACAGAAAGGTTATTTGCAAGAGAATCGATGTAGCAGCAACTTCCCCTTATCAGGACCAGTGTGTTTTCAGAGCATGGGGGGGAGGGTCATGTGAAGATTCACGTTTGATATATTAAACATAAGAGGAGATGCTCACAGATAGACTCCTAGGCTATGGAAAAAGTATCCCTCTAGTGTAAATGAATTGTGTTGAGTTCTCCTGTTGGTCTATTGGAGCTACATGCCTGCATTTAATGAACAAGTATCATTTGGTGGGAATGGCTAGACTCATAGGATACACACCCAAAGAACTTGTAACCAGTCAGCGTTTGAGACGATTTTATTCTCAGCACCGACTGAATAATTTCCTCATCAGAATAACTGCTTTGTTTGACTTTTGTTTTTCACGATGAAAACCTCCCAGGCACACAAGGTTGTGAGCAGAAGGTGGCAGTATTCCCATGGGACATAAGAACCACGCAGGGACCTACACAGAGAGTTGGGATCTAAGCTGCCCCACGTCCTCAAGCCCATGCACTGGTAAAGAAGGCATCTTTTCCTTCCAAGTGGTCAGTGATCGTAAAGCTAGTTTGGTTTTGCTAAGTTTGCAGACACAGCAGGACAGCCGAGCACTTGTTGGGTAACTCAGCGAGTGGTCAGAAGGCCAGCCAGGCCATAGTTCCGCATAAGGGTTAGATCTGTTCCGTGAGGCAGCCCCGTGCAGCTCGGCACTCGGTCTGTCCTGGCACCACCAGGAGCACGAGAGTGCCCAGCAGTGTTCACTACTACGTTGTTTTGCACTGTGTGCGTCTCATTCCACCTGCGAATGGAAGCGTCTGTACAGAGGCTGCTTTAGGATGCCTGGACAAGTCCTGTAGACGGTCAGTGCACACTAGGGACTGGTGGAAATGGTGTTAGGCTAGGCAGCTGACATCTTCTGAGAAGGAACACCCATACTGAGCCCCACTGAGCTTCTGACTATCAGAACCCACAGACATCAGGCCAGGTTGCTAGATCCCAGCTGGAGACAGTTCAGTGTTGACCACCAACACACATTCTTGGCCAGTACTAGAGACCAAAGAAAAGCTGCGTGAGAACAGAGGGATCTTGTGCCACAGTTTGAGCTCTGGAAGTCAGTCCCACATTCCTTGGCTGACAGGCCCCGTTCCTCCCCGAGCACCACAGAATGGACATGCGGGCACAGTCTGAGCAATATCCCGAGAGATTATTCTCATGGACGGCAACATAGTCACGTCGTATTCTTAGTCAGCCTTGCCACAATCAGGACGTACTAAGTCGTTTCCCAGCTCTGCTGAGAGCTGCCTCCTGCCACATCCAGGCCACACCCCAAAGTACTAAGTAGCTGTGATCCTGACTCTTCCTGTGTCTGCTACCGTGACCACTGTGATGAAGGGCTGGCGAGACAAAACGGAAAGCAGTCTTGTGCCTTTGTAGAAGACCGCCAGGTGCCCCTCAAGTTTGAAGGTGACACATGGCGCCTCTTATGCCAAAGCCCTCTGCCCTCTCCATGCTTCCCAGGCCACTCTTATCCTTGTTCAGCTCTGATCCTTCAAGGTCCTTCCGCACTAATAGGCATTGGGTGTTTGGGGTGCCCGTTCCCTTAAAAGGAAGCTTTTCCACATAGAAAACCATCACATCTTTGACGGCAAAATCAAAATGAGAATAACTTTGTTGTGTGGGGGTGGGGGCTGGGCAGATTTTCACCAGAGCCACTACATTATTTTTAAGTCTATCTTATATTGAAGTCCAGATGTTATTGGGACAGTCCTTATGGTAAAACGTGTCTCATTCAGACATTATTTCCTTTGATCTTCATAGTGTAGAAAACTAAGGTCACTCCCCCAATCCATGGCAGTCCAGAGTAGTCTCGAACCCAGTGAGTCGGCACCATCGTTACCTGCAAAGAGGGAAGAAGGGACTGGCTTGGCTGTGGTCCAGAGTGACTCAAGAGGCTGCCATGTTCTCCATGCAGAAGTAAAGAGCACACTCACTTGTGTTACTAAATGCAAATGTAGTCACCCCCAAGTGTACCCCTTACTACAG